GAGTTTTCAATAAATAAAAAGTAATAATATTATAATAATTACAAACAGTAGAATTGATTCAAAGTATTACCATTGACTATTTATTAGGTATTACTTTAATGACAACCATTGTCAAAGGCTTATGTTTATTGCGACTATAGTTACAGTCAGTCTTCTCTGATCATCCACGCTGATTATCCATCCAGTAAATAACTTATTTACATCTTTAGGAAGGCGATCACGTGACATATTCCCCCTTACCATCCCTCGCCATATTACAGGGTCGTCGGTGGTGCTGTGGCTGCGTGGTGTTGGCGCGCCGCCAGGCGTCAGTAGGTATTGCACGACTCACTCACACTCACCGCCTCACCGGGTTGGCTCGGGTTCCGTCATCCCGCCACCGACGCTGTCAAACGATGTTTTGTATTCTTTTTTGTGTTTTAAATGTTGTTCGTAGGGTTTTATTAAATCAATACAATAACTGAAATAATTCGTAAAAATCAGACATATTTTAGGCACAATATGTATTTGTCTGTCCTTTATTTTATTATATTCATTCCAAATTTTTTAACTTATTATTAGCAATAGTAAGGCCACCTAAGGACGGCACTGCTCACCATAAGTCATTCGCTAAGTTTGACTTGGTAAAACAGTTTGTGTATTCGATAGAATAATTTAGTGATTTAGATCAGCGCTAGCTGTCGGTGGCTCACATCAACTACGACAATTTTGATCAAACATCTGGCTACAAATTTAACATGGGGATGGAATGTCTAGGTATAACCATAGACTAACCAACACAACCAACACTAAGGGCGTATGTTTTATGCCCATTTCATAATAAACTACAAGTTACAGCTTGTAGATTGTAATTTCCATTAGATTTGCATTGAACGATCAGCTGATTTACTAATAATATTACATTGTGATTTAGCCTCCAAATAACCAATACTAGTGTACCTGTTGCTCGAATTCGAGCAATTGCGAAGCATTACAGGCGACTCACGAAGATGATGGAAATACTCACGATCTACACAACAGTTAGATATAATCAAAATCTTTTGTGAATATCTTATCTTTTCTCAAAAAGCTGATCTTGTTTTTTAGTGTTTCTACAAATTTTTCCCTCTCATAGCCGCATTAGGTTGTCTATAATAACGATTATAAATGAAAAAAAAAACATTTCTTTTCTTCTACTTGGTTGTGTTCTATGACTTTTTCCATGTTTCCATTGTTTGCAAATCGGTTATTTCAATGATTGCTCAAGAAATGTAGCATATTGTTAATCCAGTTTTATTTTTAGCGTATATCAAATTGTCCAGGATTTCTCACTTTTTTCCATTGTAATAATTTCACCAACCCAAGTTTCGTCTACAGATGCAATACGCCAAAGAATATCACCTACGTACAATCTCCAAGAAGTGGTAAAAAAAGGCAGAAACCAAGCCATACAATAGATATATAAGTTAACTCCATAAGAAATAATTTTAAGAGATACTGTGATATTAGAATTTTCCACTGATTTGGTAATAGAACATTATATTGGAAAACATGACACGATGCAGAATAAAATCGATTTTAAAATCAGAAAAGCCCATTGCAAATACTGTACTTCATTTTGAAAAATTCAATAAATCACAATTTAAATATTAACAGCTGTTTCATTAAAAAGTAGTGTAGAATTATGCATATGGTAAACAAATTTGAAGAGGCAACTTTAAAGGCTTCTTGGGCAGAGCCCCAAGGGAATTTACCTCGTTCCTCTTTTGATGGCTCATCTATAGACCAAGACCTTTCTTTAGAGACCCCTACCAAGTTTCTACGCCCAGCCGTTCTCTCAAATTAGCTGGGACAAAAACCCAGTTTTTCTCCATAAGAATAACATGGGATGGGAATTCAAAGGCCACTGGGACAGAGCACCGAGGGAATTCTCCATGTTTCTCTTTTGATGGCTCATCTACAGACCAGGACCTTTCTTTAGGCACCTCTACCGAGTTTCTACGCCCAGCCGTTCTCTCAAAATAGCTGTCACAAAGAAAAACAGTTTCAAATTAATATATAGATTTCAATAAAGTGGTTTAAATACCTGCATAAAAGTTATCCAAAATGTTGCTCACGGCAACCGGTTTCAATCCTCAGGGATCTTCATCAGGCCGATCAGGATGTCAAAACATTTTTTCTCTTCTTGCGAAGGTCGTCAAAAGGCGTAAAAAACATGCACACATCATAGTCACAAACACAAAACACGGACATTTAACATTGAAGACACGGCCGAAATTATTGCTATACGACTCATCCCCGGCGAAGGTCCCTTCCACCATGGGCGAAGGTATAGTCTAGACTGCCGGTGGTCAGTGGAATCTAGTCGTCCAATCCTTATCAGCTGTTTCATTGAGGTCTACCCATCGATCTCTATTAATAATAGAGATCGATGGGTCTACCCACCCCCTCCATCCACACCCTTCAATACCTTGATTGCAGTGTCATAAATATAATTAGATGAAAATGACAGCTTGTCGTTCAAGACGTTTTGATGATCCGATTTTACAGCTTTATATATTTCAAATTCTTCTAATGTGCTTGTCTGAGATCTGTCTTTTGAAGAGTGTAAAATATGCATATTTCTGTGTATATCTGAATAATTGTGGTTATTTGAAACGAGGTGGTCAGCAAAAGCAGATGTCTGGGTTATGGTTTTCTTGGGCAAATGTTCCTTGAATCTCTTTTTAAAGGAGCGAGAAGTCTGACCGATATAGTACTTTTCACAATCGTTGCATGAAAGACGGTAAACTCCAGTTTTCTCATATTCTGGAGTTGAAGTTTGGGGTCGCTCTTTCAATAAAGATCCAAGATTGTTAGTAGTCCTGAACGAAACTGTGATATTATCTTTGGCTAAAAGGTTCTTAAATTTATTGCTTATAAAATAACCATATTTAGCTGATAAGAATGTTTTGGGAGCTTTTGTTTCGGTTCCATTCGAGTTTTTATTTCTATGTTTGTAAATCAGATTATCAATAATTGAGCTTCTGTACCCATTAGATATGGCTATATATTTTAATATGTTAACTTCATCTTCATAGTCACTCTGATTCATGGGGACTGTTAATAATCTGTGGACAAAACTATTGTATGCTGCTAATTTTTGTGTGTGAGGATGGTGTGATTCAGCATGGATTGTTTGGTCGGTATAAGTAGGTTTTCGGTATATTTTAAATTGTAAGGTACCTTTGTTTTTTTTTTTTTGTTATGGTGAGGTCCAGAAAATTTAGTCTATTGTTTTCCTCCTTCTCTAATGTAAAGTTTATGTTTTTATGCATGCTACATAAATATGTGTTTAGCATACATAATTGCCTGTCATTACCGTTAAATAAATTTATGGTATCATCCACATATCTATAATAAAACAGAATTTTATTTCTGAGCCGGTTCACATCTGAGAACAAATATTTATTTTCAAGATGGTTTAAGAAAATTTCAGCTAATATTCCAGAGAGGGAGGAGCCCATAGCTAACCCATCTTACCCCCTCTCTGGAATATTAGTTTCCTAATTTTTGTTTAATCTTCTTATTGAGTTCTCGCATAGATTAAACATACTCCATAAAGCACGGGTCACGCACTAGGCTGGCATCAGCGGCGAATTGAAAGAAGCCACTACTGTCAGCTTAATGTGACCACAAAATTCGCAGCTGGCGAGTATTTGTCAGCGGCTGGTGAAGTTGGACATGTTCAACTTTTGGTAGCGAGGCAGCGGCGACTAGAGGTCACGTGACCACACGCACTCGTTGACGCCAGCGAACAGCGTAGTCTGACCACCTCTAGAAGCGTGCCAGCGGCGACCAAAGATAATTTCCAACTTGGTTTAACACAAAAGGACTAAAGCAACTAACTGTCTCAATTTTTTAATAAGAGGTTTAACTAATTCTATAGTAATTCTTGGAATGTATGTAGTGACATTCGTAAAACATTTTTGTATGTTTCTGATTCATATTTTAGTGCGTTTAAAAACGTGGTATTTTTAAAAAGTATTTTTATTTATAAATTATTTGTATCCATAAGGCCTGGTGCACTAACGACTCTTCTTGCGAAAATCATTTCTCGTTCACACACATCCTCAATGTTACTAATCCTGAATCCTAAATGATGTTTTGTTATTTCATATATAAAAGTTTGAACGAATTGTTTTTTTTTGTGCTCAATATGGGTGCTGGTTTATGAGGACCCAAAAAAGGACGAAATGGCGACAAGAGCTGAGCTTTAAACTAGGCGATTAAAAGTAGTTTGTAGCATAGAATAAATAACTGAGCTTATAGGTAGTCGGGGAAGCAGGTTATTGATTTCTTAAATTTATTCCAAAACTATACGTGCTTGTGGGACGTTTCTAGAAGTAAAAACACCAAATAAGCAGCTTACAGTGATTTGTTGCAAAATCTCACTGCTGTTCCTTTCTCACACATCGTTAATATCACGATCACCAGCGGCTGACAAGCGAAGCAGCCTAGTGTGACCCGTGCTTATGGTCATTAATACCATAGATAAAACATACTCCCTTCATAGATAAAACATACTCCCTTAGTAGATTTGTAGATTTCTCATCTTTATAGAACAGCTGAAGACAATTTTATTGTTAGTTCTGTACGGTTTTCTGTAGAGGTCGTGTTTTGTTTACAATTTGTTTCCCGTTATTACAGCCATTTAAAACCTCGTTTAGCCAAATAATACGATCTAATCATAAACAATAACTTGTCCCCTAGTTATATAACCAAACAGTAAAGCACAAATCAAGAAATTAACCCTAAAATAATAGAAACAAAGTTTCGTCGACACTAGCGCCCATGTGTCACGTACATGAACTAGACACGAAAAACGTGCTTCAAAATTTACAATGGGATGAGAAGTATGTTACTACTTAAGGTAGCGACTTCTTTCAATTCGCCGCTACAACACAAAAGTTGAAAAGTCACATTCAGTCAGTTCGAGTTCAGTCGTCGTTTCAGTCAGTCAGTCTTTTCAGTCTCACCTCACGGTCACAGACGACAGACTCACAGCACTGAGCACAGTGAGAGTTTGACAGTTACCTTAACCTTACTACCTCCCCTATAAAAAATATTTTAGTTTATTTTAGTACTAGAGTCAATGGTACTAGTAAATTAATAATGAACAATCAAACTCTTAATCTCATGACTAAGCAATTAATTTATTAATTTCAATGCTCAATGTAATTAACTGTTGACATAACCTGTATTGGATTATAATTTATGACTACCTATTTGGATTTGATTAGATTCTTTAGGACCTAGGTGCTACTTATAATAATATTTAGCCTAGTTTGTGCAGTTTTTAGGCATTGGAAGTAGAAAAGTGCCTTTACGACTAGGACATGCTGCCATGAAAGATGAATACAGATGCAAGTGAAACTGTAGCATTAAAGTCAAGGAATCATGCCCTGGAATATATTCAGTGTGGGAATTTAGGAAGAGCTTTTTCCCATTTTCTTGTTGCCCTTCAGCTGAAACCCGAATGGAAGACTGATATAAAAAATATATTTTCGAACACCCTTTGTAAGTAAGATACAACATACAAAGTAACAATTATGCCAAGCTACTCCTCTACCTACTCAATCAGTTTAAAGTTTTTTTTAGCAATCGTAGATGTCAATTACTGTAACGTAACTGTGACTGAGCATACATATAAGAAATCAATTCCTTTCAGCATCCTGATTATGACTTATTTAATGACAGTGATTCTGCACTGAAGAGGATCTTCTCCAATTGAAGATAGCTTCCTTTTCCCCTTCTTGTTTTTGCGCTGTGTTGTGTGTGAGGGGGGTGAAAGCAGAGTATTAGGGTTGGTCGTACTGCTTTTGCGCTCTAATCCGGACCCCCCAAAAGTATTAGCAAGGGTCACTTAATCCCCGATCTCGTTTGCGCTTTCTTCGGGCCAGGTAGCCAACGTGACGGTATTCCCCTTTAGACAACTATTTGTAAACAAACCCTTACACACTGGATAAATATTTGTAAATAAGTCTACTCCTTGTGAACGCAGCCGTGACAATAAACTGGATCTAAAGACCAAGTGGCTTGGAGAAAAGATTGTTCAGTTAGGAGAAGAAAGAATTGGGTCAATAGACTTTATAAAATGTGTGGGGTACAGGGCGAGTGTAGAGAAATAAGTTTTCCTACAGTCACCCGACAAAGTTGGCTCCCTTGTACTGTTTATAGTACAGAAAGCTGCTAATTGCTGCATATTTAAATACTTTGTCGTACGGTTTATACTTTGTCGTACGGTTTATACTTTGTCGTACGGTTTATACTTTGGCGCACATCAGGATTCTAACGAAACAACACAAAACAGCGTGGTTCTATTATGCACGTAATCCGTATACGCTTGGAAATAGGTTGGCAACACTTAAAGATAATAATACTATGAACAGCTGATTGACTATTATAACTACGATTTAATCTGTCATTTCGTGTTTATAGTTTACGTTCTCTTTTCGGTATTTCTGAACTTTCTGGACTTTTCTTTTAAACGTTTTAAAACACTCCTACAATCTTAATAAACAAGAAAATATCTTAACAGCATTTTTTTAGGCGCGGAAACCACTGCAAATTACAAAAATATACGGAACTATTTTCTCAAGTCGCGGAGCACATTGCTTGCCGAGGAAAAAATAGCGGAGTGATACGGACCAGAGACTAACTTCCTCTAGGGCACCTATTTGTGTTGCCAGCTGAACCTAAAAACGTGTTGTATAGTGTTTGAAAGACTAATTATTTATATGCTTTATAGTGACTGGAGGAAAAATATAATGTGTAACACGAGTGCAAAAGGCCTTTGCTCACTAGTTACACAAATAACTATTTAAATATAGGGTTAAGTATTATGTATATATTTCTTTTATTGTTTGTTGTTTGTATTGTAAATAGTTAAATCAATAACATCTATAATATTTCAATTAATATACATATATATAACATACTCTTTTTCAGATTGATTTTTGTATAGGCTAAATATGTTTACGCATGGGAATGGGGAAATATACTGAGTTAAAAGTATAAATGTGTAATGTTTTAATAAGCCCATAATAGAATACAAAGAGTAGGCCTACAGCTAAAGAAAATACTAGGCTAGTACTTAATTTTAATATAGGATTTTAATATACTGTAGTTCACAATCGAGTATGATATTCAATAAGAAAGCAAGTCATAACTCTGAACTCTGACCCATTCGACTCTGCATGTTAGGTGTCTACTTATAACTAATTATACGATAGAGCAGGAATTACAATCCGCATTTAATACAAACGGATATATTTGACAAATTATGCCGCCAAAAAGCGCAAACGAGATTTCCCTGATGGGGTACCTGTGGGCCCGTCTGGGCTTGAAGCGCAAACGAGGTCCGCCCTTGGGGTTAGTGTCGTGCTCTTTATCCACTTGTTTTCCTCCATTACCACATGTTCTCCTAGTTTCATTATATAAGTCATCTTTTTATTCTAGTCCAATCATTGTCAAACGATCACCTTTTTTTTGCCTTCTTGTTATTGTTAAGTTTTCTTTCATAATTTATATTTGCACTGTTAAATTTTCAATTAATTTTTGATAACCTTTCATCTTGGTTCATGTTCCTCCCAATGTTGTTACATTCACCATTATAGCACTTAAGTCACAATCAATCATTGTCACACTCTCATTGTTCATACTTGTTATTGTTAAGTTTTTACATTTTATTGCACTGTAAAATATTCAAATTTTTTTATGTTTTCCTTTTCGATCGTGTATTTAGCGAAGCAGGCTGTTAATGTTAGTTCAATTTGAAGACCATTGCATGTTTTTTTTTCTCTTGTTTGCCGATGTTGTATCCTCCCTATATATTTGTTTTTAATTTTTCATTACTCAGTTGCGAATCATTAGTGTTAGCATGTATTCATAAAGCATGACCAAATAGCAAGATGTAAAACTTACTGCATGTTAATAGTAGGCCTATTTATTGATTCATAAATTGTTATGCATGTAATTGATTGTACAAATGGCGATTTTGCCGTAAATAAATAAATAAATAAATAAATACATGTCTGGTGATTCCTTATACACAGCTGTTAATTAATTAGCCCATACAGCTAATAGCAACTAACGGACCTCGCATGAGTGTGGACAGCTAAAAGACATGCATCAAGGCCCATGCAATATCGCTTGCGTTGATTCATGTTGAATTTAATTATGAATTGAAAGGTTGAAATTGAAAGCGCATGAGTGTGGACACAGCTATTGTACAGTAATAAATCAAAATAACAATTGCAAATGCTATTTCTGTCGCTTTTGATCAATATACGACCAGTTTTATTGAAATTTGATACAATTAGAAGTAATTATCCAATCGCCTCGTTCAGAGACGCTGGCATTGCTTTCCCAATCTTGATCATCTCGTTACTAGATGCTTGGCACTTAAGCTTCGACACAACGGCACTCAAAGGGTTAATCGATCTTAGCGATTTACTGATTGAATTTGATTTTATAGGTACCAAATTATTTAATACGTACATGATAGATATTAAATTTTTTTACTAGGCCTATTGCTATTTCATGTAACCACATGAACTAACCTAACCAGGTTGGGTTAGGTTATTAGTTTCTTTTACTTTTTGTTAACTTAAGCCAACATTAATACTCTATGAATGAGAACATTTTTGGGTATAGTCAAATGTAGAGTAATCATAGATTAATACAATTGAAAATACTGATTGTATTAGAATAGTAATCTAATTACGGTACTGCAGAAAATGATGGACTAATCAATTAGGTTAGGTAGGGCCTATTTTAAAATAACAATTCCAACCCCTGTAGTTATTAAGTTACACATGCTTGATAATATAAATCTGTAAGAAAATCGTTAACCAGTTTTAACTTATAATTTTTAGAAGATATCAAATCAATTCTTTATTTATCATTAAATACAATGGATTTTCTCAAATTATAATAATTAGGCTTTCACCACAAAATAGACTAACTCAAATAACTCATGACTAGGCAGACAGCACATTATTATCGTTTTGCTAAATAGTATAGCCTATTAACTGAATTGCTGTCATAGTCTCTGTAAATGTGGTGTTGTCTGCACAATTACAAATAATGTGTTTACTATTTAAAATTCATAGACTAGTCTGCCAGTTGAAATGTATAACTTAGGTAGGCCTACTTAGTATTTTAAATTTGATAATTGACCTTACATTTTCAGGCACTTGGGGAAAACAACTTGAATCTGCTCAGAGATTTAAAGACCTCTTTAAATGTTATGAACAAGCAATCAAAATATACCCTGACAATGAATTAGTCCTTTGCAACTTGGGCTCTCATTTATTCAGGTATGAAATACTAACTTAAAATGGAAGATTTGTTAAGATCAGTATTAAAAAGTTCATTGTCTCGAAATGCAATAAAAATCCTACAAGACAATATCACTTGTGTTGATCTTGGCCTTAAGCCTAGTTTTTTATGGGATATTCCAGCAAGGGTTGACAGATCTTTGATTCATAGTGCCATCAATATGTTAAAACAAAGGAAAACTATATCAAGAAGCATCAAAGTTTTGATTTTGGGTGATGATTTGTTTATTTTTAATGCTGTGGAGATTGATCTTTTGTTTTCCAATTTGTTAGAAGTAAAGTTTGTCAATTGCAGTCCAACATTGGAATCACCAGAGATAATTGAAAATTGCAAAGATATTTTTGATTTAATTGGTACAATGATGAATAATATTAGAGAAAACAAGTCGAACGATGTACTCACTATTGAAGGAAGTCCTGATTGGTGTTTTCCAACTTTATTTGGGTTCTTGTTGGGTTATCCAGTTGTGTATTGGTCTTCTTCTTCTGATAATAATCTGTCAAATCACAATCTTGTTCTTTGCAAAATTAGTTTCTCTAATCAAGATTTAAATTTGGAAAATATCTTTTCCTTTACCTTCCCGTCAAACCTACATCTTCTGCTATATGTAGAATGTTGGAGGAAAAAACTAAATGAAAGATTTTCTGGAGATTTATCCATGACAGTTACGACCGTCTCCTATCCATCGATTGTTTTATAACCATTGACGTATAGCCTAACCACTTTAGAATATGAATTATGGTAATCATAAGCAACATTGTCTAAGCAGGCTAGAACACTTGTGTGAAGCTGCTCATTATTTTCGACAAGCCCTCACTATCAACAATGACTACTTGCCTGCCTATCGCAATCTGCAAAATGTTTGCAATGCTCTCGTGGAAAGATGGCATTTTAGAATGCTCAATGACACATATCGCAATGAAGCTTACAGAGAAGCGATTTTGAAAAAGGTTCAACAAGGATTCACAAGCGTTTTGGACATAGGCACTGGAACTGGTATTCTAAGGTAGGCCTAAGTAAATTTTTGCATTCAAAAGTTGTATACGGGTGAATATCAAATTGAGAGAGAATAAAAACAAAAAAAAACTATAAATACATTTAAAAAAAACCCAAAACTAATTTTTATTTAATTGTTCCATGTATAAATAACCTAATTAATACAATTTAAGAAAGGATTTTAATATTTAAAACAATATTTGAAAGCCGTTTTTGTCAGGTCGCTAACTGTCCCCAAGACGTCATAGAGGAACTTGAAGCAGTTTATGAAATTTAAAAAATAAAAATAAATAAATTTTATGCTGTATAATCATTGTTTTGTGTCTTTATTAAGCCCTATTCAGTGTTTTTACAATTAAATGATCGCTTTAAAATTGAAATTTTAGCATGTAAACGTAAGTCCCCCGGTAAAACACCAAGGGGTGGTTCACGAGCTCGGGACTTCATAGTCCGCGACCAGACGTTGGTCCCGGACTATATAAGCGACGACCAAAAAATGGGTTCACGAGTCAGAGCCTAATGATGTGAAAGCCGGGCCCAGTGTAGGTCGAGACCAAATCCATAGCGGAGCCTAATGACAGGGATTCGCAGGGAATTTCTGTTGAGACATTGGTAACAACAGTCTGGAAACACATGTGAAGCCAATGCTGCTGACATACGCACTTCCATACAATAGGATGATCGTGAAAAAAGGCTGAACCAAAACGTCCAAAACGATTATTTTTCGCGTATTTCATTGTCCCAATGCTCACCTATAATAATCTATCTAATTTTATTGATTTATAAACACAACAATCCACGTTTGTATGAAATCAGATAATGGAAGTCTGTAGTGAAATATATTTTTCTGTGTGCATTCTTATAATTCAATTAAGATGCATGACATAAAATAACTGGGTATTTATAACCAGATGAATGCCTATTTTGCATAATTGCCCGATAATTTAGGATGGTATTTTGGATAGGAAAATTTTAACTAAACTTATTTAAATAGTACAATTATTGAAACTAAAATGTATTTAGAGGTACTGATTATTAGATATGAAAATTGTAGGTATGTGCTGGTTTTAATCGTGGTTGTAATATAAGAATATTCTTTCCGTTATTCTTACACTCTTTAATAATCTAACTGTAAAATGTTGAAAATAATATTCTGCAGTTAGCTCGTAATATTATTTATGTTAACAGCTATGGTTTTTAATTATCATTTTTTGTGTTGCGATTTTTAAAATCTGTTTCATTGGTATTACAAGTATTACAATGCGTTTATATTTAGGAAAACCTTTTTTTTCTTTAGGCATAGTTTCGAACTGAAAATTTGATTTGTTCTGCTTTCATTATCAAACAAATAGCTACCATCCAAGCTTTACTAACATCCAATAAATCACTAGTTTCTCGATGAAAAGTGCCATCAGCCAAAAATATTAGTGCAATTAACATTTTTTTCAATTTAGAATACTGTAATGGATTTTACTGTCGGGAAATCCGTGCCTTGGAGTGAACGCCTCAAATGACTCATTGATGGCATCTTTGGAAACATTTAAATCTATCTTTAAATTCATCAAGGCATTAAAGGGTTTTAGTCATGATAACGAGCTGGTCCTATGCGAGGTAGTGGAGTAATGGTACATAATTGTTAACATAATACAGTATAGATTTTTCTTTGTCATATTCAATACACACGGCTACCAGTGAGTACAACATAAGACGGTGATATCACCGCTAACCGTACTCAACGACTGACGGTTTGCTTGATGTTTCCTACGGCAAAAAAACTATTTCTGATAATTATGTTAGATAACGATGGTTTAACTGAGGCTGATTAGTTATATTTATATTCTATGCATAATTTTGTCGTTAAAATTGTAATAACATGGGGCTTATCAGTAAAAATATATCTTTGTTATAATACTACTTTGTTACGTGCATAATTTATCTGTCGTTTTAAGTTGTTTGATAATCTTTTTCATGTTTTATGAGCCTTTTTTCCCCATTTTTACATATTTTTTTAATATGGTGTTGTGGGTAATGGAATTGTTCGGAATTTAATGAGGAACCATATTTAAATATTAGTTTTTAAAAAATAATAAAAATAAAGGAGCTAATTAGATAAAACCGGATGTCACCTTAAACCTGCCTCCTACCAGGTCTGAGTTGGAGACCAAACACCATTGTTCTTTTGGGCCCGAACCATCTCACTTGACTCGTGAACCCACCGGGACTAATGATCAGAAGCTGGGACTATCTGTAATTGGACTCGTGAACCCAACTTTTAAAACCGGGTTTTATCCCTGCACTAATTGTGTGCCGCCTATCAGTTTGGTCCGCGGCTTATATAGTCTCGAGCTCGTGAACCCGATTTTTTAAGTCGCGGCCCAAATACCGGTTATTTCCGGATTCTGGGCTCGGACTACGATAGTCCCGAGCTCGTGAACCGCCCCCAAGTATTAATGGCAATTTTAATTTGCCGCCATAATCACCGCTAGCACTCCTAGAGTCCCGCCAGAGCCATCAGTGTCACCATGACAGATGGATAGAGTGGACTATGCAGTGTTTGACCGGATTTCTAATGTCTAATGTCTAATTTCATTTTCCATTTAATTGCCAAATATCGATTGAGCTAAGTGTTGTTGTTATGTTTATTGTCTGTCAGGTCGCTAACGTCTATAAACTTATTATTTAAGCAAATAAAAATTATTTTAACAATGAATATCACAGTATTTGTGGTGCACTGTTGTCACAACGATCGTTTACCGCCATTTTGGCTGTTACAACGGCACTATCGACAAAGACGGCCAAATTCGTCAGGTCGCTGACGTTATTGCTCCTAATAAACGTTTAAATCAGGTCGCTGACGTTATTGACCTGATGTTATAACTGATTATTCTTTGTTTCGTCACACATCCAGTAGATTTATATGTAATGAGCGTGCAATTGTTTTACCCTTCTTTATTTCAAATGAATATACTTTCTTACCAGTACTTTTGTGATGACAATGTTATATTTCTATGGGTCAGATCGCTAACGTTTTTCTAACATCAGTAATATTACTAAAACAAGATAATTTTGTAGTAAAAGTTGTACTGTCTGAAAATGACTTGCATTTGCAGTAAATACTACTTCTTTACTTCGCTGAGTGCCATAATTAAAGCCTAAAAAACGTCTGTTTTGCTAGCGCCGCATCAGGTCACTAACGCCACATCAGATCGCTAACGCTCATGAAAATGAATATAAAATGATTTTTTTTTTTAAATATTACACTATTGATGAGTTATTTTTAATGGTTTGTTCTCCCTTTAGTCAAAGTAGTTAAAAATTAGTATAAAAAAAAATTGTTTACATTAAATATTCCAAATTTTTTATCAAAAACGTGTACATTTCAGATTGTTCCTGTTATTAATGTATTATTTTTACATATGATAAAAAAATTTAATAATTTTAATTATATGATGGATGCATTATTTAGGAAACAAGTTAGATGTTTATAAACATTTTTTTAAATTTTCAATGGAATTTATTATTTTTTTCAGACTTTAAAAAACGTTAGCGACCTGATGTTGTCTTTGTAGTTGATAAGACAAATATTCATAAAAAAAATAGAAAAACTTACATTGAAGCTCTGCTATGGTTAGCAATGTATAATGTAACACTTTGTTTATTATTGGGTCAATAAAATATGTATTTTAACAAAATAATTATTTTTAATTTTTTCTGCTTCATTTTCTCTCTCAATTTGAGATTCACCCATAATATAGGTATTTTGTTTTTTAAATATGTGATGTGGAAAGCGAAAAGGGACCTCTTGTCGGCGATGCAAAATTTTCAGTAGGTACGGCCGATGTAAGTAATTAAGGTCAAAAATATCGAAATTCAAGTTTTTATCGATTGTTATAACTCAATTAACATAGAACAGGACAGTATCGGTTAAAATATCGAATTGAAGATTTAAAAGGTCAAAATAAATCATTTTGTTAGCCTCTGCACAGTCTAAAAAAAGGGACCTCTTGTCGCTCAATGTTATTACGCCATAACGACAAGAGGTCCCTTTTCCAATATTCACTTTATAAACAGACTGTAATCCAAAAAATGAATTGTCCTGCATTCTAGTGAAAATTTAGAGAACTACAACGAATTCAGTTTACGGAGAAAAAAATATCTCACAAATTTTGCAGTCCCGACAAGAGGTACCTTTTCTTATCATATGGTGAAATAACACAGGGCCGACAAGAGGCCCCTTTTCTGAAGTACAATTTTAACGACATGATTCGATAAAACAATTATCTTAATTAAAACTACCGTGAGTTAAGACAAATAAATATTGGTATTGCCTCCAAAGAGGACATTTATAAGCTTTCTTTTGATACCAAAATCGTTTCTTAAATACGAAAAAAAAACTGTATGCGTATTTGAAATTTTCAAAATAGTTTTTCTCAAAATGACCCTTTTCCCTAACAAAATTTCAAAGTTAAGGAATTCATATATATAAAACTCAAAATCGAAAATTCCCGACAAGAGGTCCCTATTCGCTTTCCACATCACATATATAGAATTTGTAGGTAGTTGTTTATTAAGTTCACTTTTTAGGTAGCACCGTACATTTTTTGTTGTTCAAGATTTAAATTGAAAAACTTCATGGTCAGAATATTATTGTAAAATCTAAAACCTAGTGTTCATAAATAGGCCTAATCTATATTCTAGGCCTACTTTTTTAATAATACTGGCATTGATCTATGTACAGACGAATACTGATATGAGTCATTGACAATTGGATACTGAATTAGACATACCATCTACATGGAAAAAGAACATAGTTGTGTGTGTCAGTCACAGAATAATGTGCCAGTGTCTATAAATATATTTTATACCTTATTTTTTGTTGCTGGGGTTGTTATTGCGCCGATTTGCACATTTCAAATCTAAAATCCGCACCAAACTGTCCAATCAAAGAACGAGAGGAGAGGGATACGATAACAGTTGGACTCCGGGAGCTAATGACTTCAGCACTTTACTTGTAGGGGTTAACCATGGCTCAGTCTGACATTGGCAATCTCCGATCATTTTATAATTATATCATTAAAAGCTTGGAATTTAACATTTGGACGAACTAGCAAGTGCATCAAATCGACTGCAATTGTCTTACTTTTGCCGAATCGTTTATTTAGCATTGAAATCAGGAATAGAATCCAAATTACAGACTCAAAAAAAGTGTAATTATTTGTTCGGACATCGAAACGCCGTTGTAGAACGCCGTTGTAGATCTAAATTTGCACAGTACAATAGTCTGAGATTGTGAATGTCTTTGTAGTCGACTTTCTGTATGTACGTAAATGTTTGTATTATATGTAGGCCTATCTTGGAAAATAGTTTTAGCATGCATACGACAATCTTCCAAGTTTATAGCTCACATTAAGCCGTCCAACCCACTGCTGGCTTCAGCAGTTTGAATTTGTAAAAAACTTTGTCCATTCCATTTAACAGAAAATTGGAAATTTAGATCAGCACAATCTGTTGGTGGCTCTCATTAACTAAGATTTTAATTTCAAAAATAAAATTGGCAACAATTTTAACATGGGGATGAAATGTCTATTTGTATCCATAGTCAAAGCAGAACTAAGTACATGTATTTAAACTAAGAACCCGACTCGTGTAATCAAATTTTTAGTCTGTCAAACCAAATAAAATCTTTTTCCTACAGTCACCCGACAAAGTTGGCTTCCTTGTACTGTTTATAGTACAGAAAGCTGCTAATTGCTGCATATTTATACTTTGTTTATACTTTGTCGTACGGTTTATACTTTGCCGCACATCAGGATTCCAACGAAACAACACAAAACAGCGTGGTTCTATTATGCACGTAATCCGTGTACGCTTGGAAATAGGTTGGCAACACTTACAGATAACAATACTATGAGCAGCTGATTAAATATTATAACTAGGATTTAACCTGTCATTTCGTGTTTATAGGTTCGGTATCACTTCTGAACTTTCTGGACTTTTCTTTTAAACGTTTTTAAATCATTCCTACGATCTTAATAAACAAGAAAATACCTTTAAAGGATTTTTTTTAGGCGCGGAAACCACTTCAAATTACAAAAACATACGGAACTATATTCTCAAAACGCAGAGCACATTTCTTGCCGAGGAAAAATAGCGGAGTGATACAGACCGGGTAGCCTACTACTTTCTGTAGGGCACCTATTTGTAAAATGGTTTATATTACCTGTCCGTCAGTGATCCTTTTGTTGTCGTCTTATGCGACCGGTTTCAGGATTAAAATCCCATCATCAGGCTGATAAAAATGTCATGTCACTCAAGTTGAGGTCGTCGATAAACGCAAAAACACACACATACAACACCTATTTGTGTTGCCAGCTGAACCTAAAAACGTGTTGTATAGTGTTTGAAAGACTAATTATTTATATGCTTTATAGTGACTGTAGGAAAAATATAATGTGTAACACGAGTGCAAAAGGCCTTTGCTGCACTCGAGATCATTCCACACTCGCCTGTGGCTCGTGCGTAAACATTGCTCTCGTGTGCAGCAAAGTGCCACTTTACCCACTAGTTACACAAATAACTATACCATTATAAAATACACAAATACAGTGCATAAATAATTATCGACAAAAAAATGCAGTGAAAATGAAAATGAAATGAAAATACTTTTTTATTGAGGCGAACATTAGGACCACATGGTCCTTTCTTACAGTTAACCTCTGCAGTGCAACATGAGATGCAGATCGTTAACAATAGATATGAATAATAGATATAATGTGAGAGATGATGATGATGTCTACGTGAATTTGCATTGAATCTAGTGAAAACTACCCTACCTCCTCTGACATTCGTCATAATTACTGTTTTGAAGTATCCGATAACCTCAACTTTGAACAAAATGAGAATCCCAAACTTAACACTATTTAAGTTTTTTTACATCGCAGAAGATGTTAAGATTTTACTGTGATTGTGGTAAAAGATGATGACGTTAATTTACTGTAAAATATGACGATGATGGCTTTGTCTACATGACCGCTGGAGATGTTAAATATTTTTTTTTTGATGATCGTCGCTATTGCCTTATTTAATAACAATTCTTATTACTGTATTTTTACATCGTTGAAATTCTTTCTGTAAGAAATTCTGATGAGTTTAGATAGTAGTCCAACTACACAGCTTGTTTCCATCCTCTAATTGTTGAAACATTTACAAGACAATAAATGTATCTGTAAATAACTTGTGTTTTGTGTGAGTCTGTCAAACTGTCGAGAAATATTTGATCAAGATATAACAATATATTATATTATATTAGTATGTCATCATAGCAAACAGTTCTCATCACATGTTTTTGTTTGCAGTTTATACGCAGTATCAGCTGGTGCGACAGACATCCATGCTTGTGACTATTCCCCGACAATGTGTTCCATTGCATGTCAAGTGTTAGAGGCAAACAAAATGGCCGATAAAGTCACTGTGATCAACAAACTTTCCAACGACCTCTCTATTTCTCATGATCTTCCTGAAAAGTGAGTGTAATTGAGTAGTTTTTAGATTAAATTCATACAACACCGGTGCACCAAGGTGTGCATTTTTAGGCGAAGTTGAGTGAATGATGAGTGATTTATGGAAATAGTATAAACATTAAACATTTATAAAATTGATGTATCCCATATTTTAAAGTTTCTTTTTATTTATTGGTATTTCTTATTGCTGTAAATTGCTTAGCTGCTATAAAACAATTAATTATTAAAAACACATAATTAGGGCCACTTGGCACATTCCAAGGATAAAGAGGTATTTCTATGTCAAATGATCTGTCATATTTGTTTACTTTTAATATTTGGAGAATTTGCCATAAAATTGCAAACAATTACAATACTTTTATTTTTCCCAGAAAATCTCTTGTAGTAACTGAGACAATGGATGCTGGGTTGTTAGGAGAACATCTGCTTCAAACAATACTCCACGCTTGGAACCGACTTTTGAAACCGCCTTGTCCAGAACTTCTCAAACAACTTGAATCCGGAGCAAAAATTGATGATCATGGCGTTGTTCTTCCGTTTGGGGCCAAATTATGGGCTGTTCCAGTAAAATCATACAACATAGCCAGACAAAACTACCTTCTGGACAACTGCGACAGTTCTTGGGACTTCAGCAACATTCTGCTTTATAGTGACTCAAGTGAACCCTATGACACGGAAAACTTAAGAAACGATAAATGCAAGTTTCTTGGGGATCCTGTTGAATTGTTCTGTTTTAATTTCAACGATCCCATAGAGTTGCAAGAATTTTATGAAGGGAAATTTGATAAGAAAAAAGTTTCATTTGAATATGAAGGAAAGTCAGACGCGCTGGCAGTGTGGTTTGATGTTTCGTTAGATGAGGACATCACTTTTAGTTCTACACCGTTCTCAGAAGATGTGTGTTGTTGGGAACAAGCAGTGTTTAAGTTTAAAGAGCCTCAAACTAGTTTTGCTGTGAAAGTTAGCTGTGGTGAGGGTAAACTGAGGTTCAACTTCAGTAAAACTACCTCTAAAAAAACTAAAGGAAAAACTATATCTGAATATGCAGTTAGTTCAGACACAATTCTGTTTCTTAATAATCATTCATTGCTAAACAGGATTAGTGTTTTGCCTGAAAACTTTGATAAAGTTTTAAACGTATTAGACCTCTCCCCTTTTCCAATGTCAGGTCTGCAATTTGTTAAACAAAAGAAGGCAAATTTGGTTTGTGTTTTGAAATCACATGAAGAAGTTAAGGCTGTGATACAATTTGTTGGAGACAATAGTTTGGATTCCTGCAAAGTTAAGTGCTTTGTGATGAATGAAATTGATGTGGTGCTTTCAAACGAGATAAGCAAGTTTGATTTTATAATCAATGATTTGTTTGAATCCAGTGGAGAGCTCAAAGAAGCTAATGTTAACCTGATACCAAGACTTGTGTAAGTATGTTTTGTTTTTAGAATCAACTGTGCCATTACAATCTGCTCAATTTTATACATCATTGCCAAACATTTCAGCAATAACAAAGCTTGGAATTTAAGCTTTTTGAATTTTAAAACAAATTTGAAGGAGATATTTTTAAATCTGTGGACTTTGATAACTGATTAACCTGCACTTGTTTAGAGACAAGTTGGTCCTTTTACTTCCGTCATCAATAGGTAGTAAGTACACCTTGCAGATAGTTTTTTTAAGGAATTAGCTTTGCAAACCGTTACAAGTTTAAATGCATGCTAAAAATATTGTTAATTTACACTAATTAGAACGACTTAAAAATTTAATCATAACTATTCCACTGATTACATCTATTTACCACATCACTAACCTCCTCTGTTAGAAAATAGTTCCGAATTGCATGACAATCAAAATTTGTAACAAGTTACCTAAAATCACAAGTGACAATCCTTCAGAAAAAACAAACTGTAAAACATTGAAAAAAATTATTATTGGTCTTATTTGTAACATAAAGGATATTTTTCTGTATGATTTAAAAAAGTTTGGCTTTATAAAACAGGCCTACAGTCCATATTTTTTAAATACAGACCATACGGGTGTTCTCTTTTAGCAAATTTCCCTATAGGGAAGTAGCTATTTTAGTTTTAAGCTTCATTTATCTTCCAATTTATCATCTGTTCATTTATTGAGAATATTTTACATTGCAGAAATCAGTTAAGCCCAGATGGTGTGTTGTCCCCTACCAACATAACAATGATGTTTCAACTCACTCACTGTCCATGGATCACCAGGACTTCTAAAGTAACTAACGAGGAGCTTGTTCAGAAATATAACATCGCTCAGTTTATCAACATTTATCAGGTAACCTTAGAGCGACGACCGTGTCAAAATCAATGTAATCCTTGTCCATCATTGTTTTGGCCTCAATTTAGAATTCTATCATCAAGGACTGTCATATCGAATCACCTTAAGGTTGCACTTGAAACATAAAATGTGCATAAGTCAAGTTACCCTGAAGATGGAGATCTACATTGAGGTCAAATTTTTATTGGACAGAAGTGTTTAATCATTTTTGACATGTTAGACCTCAGCTGTACTAATATTAAACTTAATCACTTTTAATGTTCGATTTATAACCTATTTTTATATTTGCAAGGACGGTTGTGATTATATCAACACCATATTTGTGAAGTAAAAAGAGTATTTATGCACCAGAATACATTATTTTGTCATATTCATTTACTAGTCATATTGCCATGCAATAGCATAGCAACGCTGGTGGCGCTGCTTACGGATTGACAGGCAAAGCTCTCTCAAAACACTTAATGCTTTTTACCATGCGGTTGGCATTCTGGGTTATAGTAGTACGTTTTCTGTGGTATTGCAAAGAGGGAGGGAGGTTGGTTGGACTAAAATACTAGTACATGCCCCTCTCTCACACAAATTCACCTTAAAGCCATCCTTGGTAACTACAATAGTTAGCAAAAATTGTACAAACAAAATTGCAGAATCTCTAAAATCTTGACATATCTTTTATAGTGTGTTTAAAAATGAAAATGAGCACATTTTCACCCAGTCAATTTTCCAGGTACACCAGCAGTTGGACATAAACTTACAGATACTAGAGTGTGAATATCTCTCAAATCCTGTCCCTTGTCTTCAACTAGTCCAGGAAGACATGACTTTAGATTCTTGTCGAACTGAAGATATAACAGTCTCTGTTGCAAAAGATGGATGTATCAACGCTCTACCACTGTGGTACCAATACCAGCTGTCTACACTACAAGAGCCATTGTCTACTGGTGAAAGAGATAGTCACATAAACCAAGTTGTGTATGTTGTAGATCCTCCGTGTAATGTCTTAGCTGGTGACACTGTTGTTATTAATGTAACCTATCTTGCAGGAATCACAAGATTAAAACTGAAACATTGAATTTGTGTTTTTATCCCCCTTAATTGAATATGGGTTGAAAAGCTAAAAAGACCATCTCACTCCTCTCTACACTCACTTTGCATAAATAATATTCAGCCTAAAATACACACCCAAGTGAGAATTTTACTCTTAAGAGGATGAGTATTTTAAGATGAATATGAATGAAAAGTGAGAGTCAAATAGAATGGCAACCCGTGTAGCTTAAATCAGCTGTTTATTATATAAAACTATTCATTCATAAGTTCTATGATAAAAAACCAGTGAGTCAAATTTGGAACCATCAAAAAGCTAATAAATTTGTCAGGGCCGGATTTAGCATTTTTGCGCCCCTAGGCCCAAAACAATTTTCCGCCCCCTAGTCTGGTCACAGTTACTTTCCTTCAAACCAATATTTAAAGCTATATCACGACCATAGGCTTAAGTTAATTGCTTGAATACCATTTTTTTTTTTAAAGAATTGACTTGTTTAGCATTAACAAAATGCCGTCTTAAACACTTTCAGCAAATTTATGCCTTTACTAAATGCTCACGTTTAAGTGGCCGTGGCCGCCGTGGGACTGAAACAAAGCAACTCAACTCACCGAGCATTCATGCAACAAAAAAAACATGAACATTGATTCCAATTCAGGGTCAAAAACATGAACTCCATACAGTTCGTGATACCATAGATTAAACTTACTCCTTTAGTAGATTTGTCATAGTTTTGGATTTAGCCTAGCTGAAAACAATTCTTTTTATTTAAGGAGTACGTTTTATCTATATTTAAACCTAGTTTATCCAAAATAAAACAATCTAATCATTAAAAATAGGTCGTCTCCTGTTTATATTAAAAGAAATTAAAACCCAAATCATAGAAATAACCCTAAAATAATCAGGGCTGTGCGAATACAGAAATTTTGGTTCAAATCCGAATCATAGCTGTACAGATTTTATCGAATCCGGATCGAATCCGAATATTTTAATTAATCCCGAGTCGAATCTGGGTCGAATCCGAATCTCAAATTTACAGCTATTATCGAACCTGGATCGAATCCGAATCTGAAATTTAAAGCTGTTATCGAATCCGAATATTTAAACCTGTTCAGAGTCGAATCCAAATCCGAGGAAAGTCAGCAGTACCAATTTTCACATTTTTAGACCACATTTTCTGGGGCTGAAATAACTTAGGGAATTGCTTGAAAAAATTCTTGAAATGGCCAAATAAAAAAGTTATAAAATTTAGGCCTACCTATTTGAAGTTTTGAAACTAAAAAATTGGGCATAAGTTAGGCATACCACCTAGGCCTAAGTTACTCGCTAAAAGTGGTGGACTACCAATTTGTGTAGTCTAAAACATAGGCCCAGCCTATTATACACCTCGGTGTTAATCCTCCACACAAGCCTATGTCTGCATTACTATTACAAGTAACAACTAACATTGTGAGGTTAAGTTTACTGATAGCCAAGATAGTGTTCAAATGCGACCTACACTAATGGGCCTAAAGCCTAACACCAAGTTGGTCAGGTTCCTAACATGAACCAGTCAACAGCAAATCGGAGTGCACAAGTAGTTTTTTAGTGTCTAAAAAATTATATTGAAAATTTAAATTATATTCAATCAGAATCTAGTAAATTTGAATATCGAATCCCAACTCGGATCTATTTCCAAGAAATTCGAATATCGAATCCGAACCCGGATCTCTTACCAGTAAATTCGAATATCGATTCCGAATCCGAATCCAGTTAGAAACAGTAGATTCGTTCTCGAATCCGAATCGAATCTCTAAAAAGATTCGGATTCGATTCGTTTTTCGAACTATTCGCACAGCCCTGAAAATAATAGAAACAAAATTACGTGATAACTAACGTCAAGTGTCACCAACATAAACTAGACATTGACAAATTTTGAATTAACAATGTCATAAGAAGTCGACATGAGTGAGTTTAATTTAATCTATGGTTGTACTGCATCTAGGCTTTGACTATTCAATGATCTAGGTTATATTTCCAAAGCAAAACAGAGCATTATTGCGGCCAACAATACCGATCCTTAGGTCTGAGGAGAAAATTACAGCATTGATGGTGCTTTGGAGGGTATTGAATTTTTCTAAAATCTTATGCAAACTGAAATTAATATTTTTTTGTAAATTTTAAAGGTAAATTCATCGTGGTTTTGATATTCAACACAACGTATTATATATTTTTATTAGTTAATAACTTTTGTTTTGTGAAGTGAGGGTGGTAACAATGTCTACCACGCATGCGCCCCTAATCACTCTTAATCAGTAGTGCCGAGTCCGAGCCAGAATACTAGAATAGTGGCAGTGCAGTGGCAATACGATGCGTAACCGCTAGGGCGCTCGTCAACGTCAACATCCCTACAGCCTACTCCCGTATAACTGGTGTTCGCTACCAATTTTGTAACGAAATTGATGCGTAGTTCTGAAAAATAGTTTAAGTTTCCTAACAATTATTTCTTCTTATGAACCTCAGAATCACAACGCTTAAACAGGCAGTTGTTTGTTATCAACTAAAGGCGGTGACACACTATCGATCTTTTCCCCGATCAAGACCCCGAACCGAGCAGGGAGAAGGGAGAAGGGAGATAAATTTCAGCAAAATTTCACTCCGAACATTTCCCCGAACAAGACCAAGACCAGACGAATCCTACTGAGCGCGGCAAAAGGGAGTTTAGAGAGAGATGGAGAGTGTGTGCGAGTGAGAGCGCGTTAAAAGACGCTTTTTGAAAACTTATCGCAAAAATAAAATATTCTAGAAAGGATACTTAGTTATATGTATTGATTTTTATTGGTTTTATTAATTGAAATAACGTTACAGAATGATAATTTTAATTGCCCTTAATGTTTATATTAATGTTTATATTAATTTTGAAAGAATTTTAGACAACATCAATTACTTAATTCACTTTAATATTATTGATATAATTAATTTAACGGTTTCTACATTTTGAACCTCGACCAAACAAACCACAACATGACATCTTAAATGGCCATAATATATAACGGCAACATATTACCCAACATTTATTTATTTTACCAATTAAAGGGTCTAATTGCCATATTAAATCATAACTCAACGCTAGCACAGGCGGCCGCTCGGTGCGGCGCTCGCGACGGCGTACGGGGCAAGTGACACACTATCGTACATCACTCCGTACATCGGACCGATCTTTTCTTTGATCTTTCACCAAAAAACCGCCTCCAGAGCGCTCGTTTCCCTGCTCGGCCTGATGTCTGGTTCGCCGTCTGGATCGGTGTACGGACCCGTGACACACTATCGAACATGCTCCCTTCGACCTCCCTTCTCCCTTCTCCCTGCTCGGTTCGGGGTCTTGTTCGGGGAAAAGATCGATAGTGTGTCACCGTCTTAAGACTATTTATTTTCATTTTTAGATATAAAAAAATCCTCTCGGTCGTGCGCCCTCTGGGACCTTGCGCCCATAGGCCCGGGCCTATTGGGAAATCCGGCCCTGAAATTTGTTCAGGATTGAACCAGAGATTTGTTTCTATCGAGCACTAACCACTCAGCTCAATCAGCTGGATCAATTTGCACAATTTTGACCCTAAGAGAAGGTGTAAGGTGAATCAAAGTCTCCAGACGTATATAATTTTATATTCATACTTCAGTCTCAATTAAACCTACCTACAGTAGAACCTCTTTAATCCAACCCCCCGTAATCCAAACTACTCAGTACAGTAGTTGTTTCTTTATTGTATACGTATGCACAGTAATTGTTTCTATTCTAATGTAAAGTACTATTTATTCACTGTTTACTAATGTATTAAATAAACACTGGATTTTACTATATAAAGCATTTTTTCACTTTTCCTGTAACAATCAGAGACATTTTAGCCATGTTTTATCTATTGTTATGTAAAAACAACAATATGTTCTGTAGTCCGAACTATTCAATAATCCGAACTACCCTCGGTCCCAATTAGTTCGGATTAAAGAGGTTCTACTGTATAAGAAATAGTAAAATTAACAATTGGAATGATATAAGCAGTAACATAAAATAAAATGTATAAGCGATATAACCAGTAAAATAGAATAAAGCAAGTATTAAAAACCACATATAACGTACTGCATTTGTGTTTCAATAAGTAAAAAAAAACAAAGGCTGTAACAAACCGACAAATGAAAGACAACAATGGATATAGATACATCAAATCATCTTTATAATCATCTTAAAAATGAGGTAGAGTAAATTATTTGATGAATAGCAGGTTTCTGATTACTCATAAAGCTACTTTGACCTCAGTCCACATTTTTAAACCAACATTGGGACTAACCCAATAACCAATAACTGGGGCCACTAACCAAAGAGAGGATAAGGTCTGTCATATACAAATAATAAAATGTGTTAAAATACTTTTAACAGATCTTCATTAATCTGAATAGAGACAAAATATTAAGTTTATTATGTGACTCTGTTATTATCTCCCCTATTCAGGTGACATAGTTAAGATAATTCAAACTAGAGAGGCCTACTCTACATTATAGGTTAAGGCACTACAATCATTGGAAGACTTATTTATAATATGGCACCATTCTTAACTTGAGCAATAGAAACTGACCGACACTAAATTCATATTCATTATCACAGCTTTCCAAAGCATAACTGATAAGGACAATAACATTTTGTTTTATTCATATATAAAAATAAAATAATTAAATCTCACATATGTAGCATAGGGCCTTGGTTTTTAGGATTTTTAGTGAGACTTACCAGAATGGGAGAGTCTGAACTGGCACAAAGAAAACAAAACTTTACACAATACATAAAAAATAGAATATTTCACTGTGATTGACAGCATTTTAAACAGCAGATTTAACAGTCTGTTGCAATAACTTCCTGGCCACCATTAGGCCTGAAAAACTTTCTCTTACTTAGTTAAAAATGCTGTCAGTGACAGTGAAATGTTCTATAATGTTTTGGGTATGGTTGTGTAAAGTAGTGTTTGTTGCCCTAGTTTGGAATCTTTCTCATTGCTGACCAAGTTGATGATTCATAACAGTTGCTATAGCTCACAATACATCATTTCATTAGTTTGAGTTTGTAAAAACATGTGTGTACTCAACATAAATTAGTAATTTAGATCAGCACAATCTGTCAGTAGCTCATATCAACTACGACGATTTTGATTAAAAAACTGGCAACAAATTCAACATGGGCATGGAATGTTTAGTTGTATCAATAGTTAAAGCTCCTACCTAATGTTCCATGGAGCAGGGTATGACCAAATTCATGATGCTTATCTGAATATAGTAGGATTGTGACGTTCCAGTTTCACTGCATCACTGGCATGGAGACGGCGGCTCGTGTATGACTAACATCTGTGTCCCTCCACAGCTGGGTGATGGTCTTTACTTGGGTGTAGAAGTGTACTCCCTGCCAACAGACAGGAGTGTTACAATATAGTAGGATTGTGATGTTCCAATTTCACTGCATCACTGGCATGGAGACAGCGGCTCGTGTATGACTAACATCTGTGTCCCTCCACAGCTGGGTGATGGTCTTTACTTGGGTGTAGAAGTGTACTCCCTGCCAACAGACAGGAGTGTTACAATATAGTAGGATTGTGACGTTCCAGTTTCACTGCATCACTGGCATGGAGACGGCGGCTCGTGTATGACTAACATCTGTGTCCCTCCACAGCTGGGTGATGGTCTTTACTTGGGTGTAGAAGTGTACTCCCTGCCAACAGACAGGAGTGTTACAATATAGTAGGATTGTGATGTTCCAATTTCACTGCATCACTGGCATCGAGACGGCGGCTCGTGTGTGACTAACATCTGTGTCCCTCCACAGCTGGGTGATGGTCTTTACTTGGGTGTAGAAGTGTACTCCCTGCCAACAGACAGGAGTGTTACAATATAATAGGATTGTGATGTTCCTGTTTCACTGCATCACTGGCATGGAGACAGCGGCTCGTGTATGACTAACATCTGTGTCCCTCCACAGCTGGGTGATGGTCTTTACTTGGGTGTAGAAGTGTACTCCCTGCCAACAGACAGGAGTGTTACAATATAGTAGGATTGTGATGTTCCAATTTCACTGCATCACTGGCATGGAGACGGCGGCTCGTGTATGACTAACATCTGTGTCCCTCCACAGCTGGGTGATGGTCTTTACTTGGGTGTAGAAGTGTACTCCCTGCCAACAGACAGGAGTGTTACAATATAGTAGGATTGTGACGTTCCAGTTTCACTGCATCACTGGCATGGAGACGGCGGCTCGTGTATGACTAACATCTGTGTCCCTCCACAGCTGGGTGATGGTCTTTACTTGGGTGTAGAAGTGTACTCCCTGCCAACAGACAGGAGTGTTACAATATAATAGGATTGTGATGTTCCTGTTTCACTGCATCACTGGCATGGAGACAGCGGCTCGTGTATGACTAACATCTGTGTCCCTCCACAGCTGGGTGATGGTCTTTACTTGGGTGTAGAAGTGTACTCCCTGCCAACAGACAGGAGTGTTACAATATAGTAGGATTGTGATGTTCCAATTTCACTGCATCACTGGCATGGAGACGGCGGCTCGTGTATGACTAACATCTGTGTCCCTCCACAGCTGGGTGATGGTCTTTACTTGGGTGTAGAAGTGTACTCCCTGCCAACAGACAGGAGTGTTACAATATAATAGGATTGTGATGTTCCTGTTTCACTGCATCACTGGCATGGAGACAGCGGCTCGTGTATGACTAACATCTGTGTCCCTCCACAGCTGGGTGATGGTCTTTACTTGGGTGTAGAAGTGTACTCCCTGCCAACAGACAGGAGTGTTACAATATAGTAGGATTGTGATGTTCCAATTTCACTGCATCACTGGCATGGAGACAGCGGCTCGTGTATGACTAACATCTGTGTCCCTCCACAGCTGGGTGATGGTCTTTACTTGGGTGTAGAAGTGTACTCCCTGCCAACAGACAGGAGTGTTACAATATAGTAGGATTGTGATGTTCCAATTTCACTGCATCACTGGCATCGAGACGGCGGCTCGTGTATGACTAACATCTGTGTCCCTCCACAGCTGGGTGATGGTCTTTACTTGGGTGTAGAAGTGTACTCCCTGCCAACAGACAGGAGTGTTACAATATAATTTCTCCTGTCGCTGCAAACCTATAATTTGCCTGATTGCATTCTCACTAAAATATTTTCTTAAACTTTTAGCTGTATTCCCGAAAGAAATAACTTTAAGTTTAATTAGTACTTAGGTTTGCTGCCACAAGGAATATTATATAGTTTGGTTTGATGAACCCTATTTAAATGAACTCATTTAAAACTCACCCTGTAAATAAATATATATACACACTGTGATTGAAAAGTCGTGGAATGGTGTAGTATATTTTATATCATTATAGATAGGCCTAAAGGAATACAATTTTTATGTGTATAAATCCACATGGTTTGTGGAACTCTCCCTGAAAATACACTAGTTGTTGAAGACCCCAAATACAGCTTTAAAATATATTGATCATAAAACGTTACTGTAAAAATTGAAATAGCCTGAAAAATTGTTTTACATTGACTTTTTTTGGTACTTTGACTATAGTTCAAATTACCTTCTTTGTGTGTTGGTTTCTCAGGAAGGCACTGGCCTTTGACACTAGCTTATCTGTAAGAATAAAAAATAGTTTACCTGCTTCCCGTAGAAGTGACAATCTCCTCTAAATGATTGACGAGATCCAGTGAAAGAGAACATTGACAGAGGCACAGGTATGGGAACATTCACACCAACCTAAACATTAAGTTTAAGTGAAAATACAGAATAATACAAAATAGTTTATAACTTCTAAGCTGATACCCATGTTTGGAAAGGAATCATCATTAGTCCTATAGTACATGAAGTAAAATTGTACTTAACCAAATTTTGATCAAAATTGGAAAATGTATTTATTTTATAATAAACTATAAACGGTACCAGCAATCTGACACATACTTTCTCCCATTCCCTTATCAACAACCTTTTAGTAGGTAAGGTGGGAGTAACTATGATATTTTATAGGGAAAATCAGAAAAGTTTCAATAGCTTGTGGGCCGTAATTTTTACAACAATGAAGGATTTGTAATATTTTGTTTAGGACCATAACATAATAAGGACCATAACAGACTAATTTGAATCAAAACCGGGTTTTTTTCAACGAATCTGAATTTCCGTTTTGTATGGGTTTTAAGGGGAAATAACATTAGTTACAATGACATTTGAACCGCAATTTGTACAGCTATGGGATTTATATAATTTAGTTCAGAATAAGAAAGGTCTATAACAACATACTAAATTTCTATCAAAATCGTTAAGCAGGGTTGTCAGCAGGATCTATAAGCGATTCACACATTTTTCCCAGTTTTCCCGGCTAAAAAGTACGGAATTCCCGGCGTCTATTATACTTATAAGAACAGCACAACACAAGTTACACTTATCAGTAAATTTAAAAAAAGCAAGCCAAATTGCCCAAGGGACTACGTAAGCCCCGACCTATGAAACGGTGAACACTTCGTGACACATAATTAATTAGTGACGCACTGATGGTCGGGCGGGTAAGGGGTAGCGCGGTGGGTCATTATGGGTGCCATTTTGATAACATCCACTCATAATACTATATTTGGCTAATAATTTGTTCAGAATTATCAGAGGTTATAAACTCTATTACCTTAAACATTAATTGATCAAGCTAGTACAGTAGGCTAGACTAGTCATTTGATCAGTTTCAAACTCAAATAAAGGCCACTCTTCTTACTTGTGTGTAATAATTGTTTAATAATGCTTATAAAAGGTTACTATAAGGTTGTATTACAGAGACATACTGCCACAAAAACTATTCTCTAATGTGAATGAATGAACTGAGTGTTTATTTAGTGTGAAGCCCCGCCCACCGTCTAACGGGACATGGGGTAGGAAAAGAGAAAGTTTGCTCTAAAGCCTGGTTCACATGCCCTCCCTTACCCTTGGCGTCAGTCGCTTGCAGATTTCCATTACACAAACGTTTCTGAGTGTTAATTATTTTAAAACACTGCAAATGTTTGAATTTCACTGTGATGAGGTCTAATAAAGTTTCCTCTAATTTATACATAGGCTTAGGCCTACAAGTATTAATCTAAGTCATTTGACAGTTTTTGTATTTATTTTTAAAAGCAATTGCAGTTATACTTTTAAGAAACTACATACATCTTGACCTATAAATACTTTTTGTAAGGAGAGTCTTTTCTCTATAAGAAGTAAAAACGATCGTGGTCAAGGAATGACTGTGTTAAAACAGCACACTGTCAATTTTTACAAAAGTATTTTGACTGAAACCTGGTATTTTGTAAAGAGTTGTAGAATAAGTTGACGTCTGTGGAGTAAAGTATGGCAATTGATAAGTTTTACTTTTAGCCTACAATAAAGATTATGTTTAGGGACTATAATCTCCAAAAGAGTGCTTTTATAAAACATGCCATAGTTTTATTTAGTAACAAAAGTGTTTGACTATGTTCCCGATGATACCAAGAGTATAGGTTCGGCAGAGTGGATTCACTGTGAACCGGCCTGCCTGGCCCTTATAAATTCCGTGTAGGGGTGTCAAAAATGGATCGTAACAATCGATGTTTTGAACCTGTCTGTAACTAACCTAGTTTTTTTATACTTAAATACTCATTATGCATAAACGAACACGTACTACATATCGGATCTCGAATCACGATAAATTATCAATACCCTTCCCACCCACAATAAGCAAAGCACATAAAACGATGTCTAGCAATCGTCATTTGCTCCATTGAAACACGAAAGTCGATTGGCTGACATGGTAGTGCATTGTCGCCTCCTGACCAATGAGAACTGTTGTTACATACTTTTATTGTCAACATTCACCATTCGTTATAACATTACAAAATCTACATGGACTAAGGCTTATGATATTTTTCAATAAATGCATTGTGTCATAGTAGCACTTAACTTCACTTAACTCTTTAATCAGGTAGATAGTACAGATAAATATGGACCTACTTTTTGGCGCAATATAAAGCAAGCCTAACCATAAGACGATGACGATGTTAAAGTTTAATGGTTGAATATTGCAGGGAGGAAACGTGTTTAGGTTATTTATTTTGTACTAAAAATAAGAAATAATACATCTAAATGTCTGACTTATTGATACATTTAGGGTAATACAAAATGGATATATCCTCTCAAAACTGAAAAAAAATTTTGATGGAAATTTTAAAAAATAGTTGTTTAACTTCCGGATTACTGTATTATACTCAAAATGGTTTACAATACCTGCATATAGTAATCCTTTGTTGCTGATTTTGGCAACTAGTTTCGGTTCATTAGTGAACCATCTTCAGGCCTCAAGGTGTCAAATAATCACTTCATTCGAAGGTCGTTAATAACAGAGTTCAATAAATAAGACATATACAAAACACGATACACGGAACGGACACACATAAAAAAAATTAGTGTTTTTCGTGTTTTTTGTAATGTGTGTCCGTTCTGTGTATCGTGTTTTGTATATGTCTTATTTATTGAACTCTGTTATTAATGACCTTCGAATGAAGTGATTATTTGACACCTTGAGGCCTGAAGATGGTTCACCAATGAACCGAGACTAGTTGCCAAAATCAGCAACAAAGGATTACTATATGCAGGTATTGTAAACCATTTTAAGTTTCATGGAAACATTACATTTTCCAAATACTTTGCATAGGGGGTAAGTAAAAACACTGTTATACCTTCTCTTAAAAAAATAAAAACGCCTGCAGAAAGTCAATGCAATACCCGCAATACAGGAGTGTGTTGTAGTTGCGTTTCCTTTGCGAAGGGATTCTTATTTAATTAATTTTTTACATGCTAATATTACTGCAATTATTTTATCGTTTGAGAAGTTTTGTTGTGTAAGGCATCTTTTACTAACTATAATCATATCCAAAACAAGTAACTATTTTATTCAAATTAATATTGTTTTTATTTTATGCTTTATTTTGTTTAAGTATAAGTTTAACTCTATCCTAAGTGATATCACTATGTTTTCTAATCATAAGCATTTTCAATAAGTTAGGCGTAATTAATATAATTTTTTTATGCTGATTTAAAAAAAATAAAAGATTAGAAATATTTATGTCTATTATTATTATTTTTGTATTTAAACAATCAACAACAATGTTACAAAATGAGGTAAAAATGTCGAACGTGCATTTCCCGTTATGTATGAGATGGGAAATCCCGTCTTGATCTCGTCTCAAAATTTTATGAGAAATTAAAACTCTTGTCTCATCTCGAACTAAAAATCCAATCTCATCCATATCTAGCTATTTATTAGAAAAACGTTGTTTTACTATTACTTTTACTATAACTGAAAACAGTTACTGGTTTTGAGGAATGACCATGCTAGGAATGTGCGCTGATGTCAATTAAATGTGTTAGCATAGGAGTTATTACAAGCATTTTGTATCAACTGATTTAACCAAATAACAAATTGTAAAATAAAAAGCCTTTTACAGTATAATCATGAGGTGTAATTATTGACTTTAGACTGTATAAGTACACTTCTCTTAATTGTAAAATTTGAACCCTGTGCACATGTTAAATTTAGAAACGGTCATGTTGAATAAATTGAATAGATATTTTATTAATATATATACGGGGTGTTTTTTTAAAAACACAATACAAATTAAAAGTAGTGAGAGACACATTTTAAATGACAAAACAAGCTTATATGTTGGTACCCCTGCTTTCTTTATTTCATTGCTGATATGCATTGTTGCATAATTATTATCAATATGGTTTAGTGTAATTGGTAATTTATTGTAAATAAGCCACAACATGGTGTTTCCCCAAGCTCGAAGAGTTTAATAATATGTTAAGAGTATTTTTTTTTTGTACCGAGAAATGTTTGCAATTAAGTTGCCAGATGAAGTGGCTCTCTACAGCAAGTGTTAAACACCAGAACCATGTGAAACAGCTAATATTTTACAAGCCATTGAATTTAAATACTTTCGAGAAATTTTGAAACCTCTTTAAATTATACTAAACATAATACCTGTCCAACATCTATTTCCTTGGTAAACTTGCGTGCTGTGGCTCCGTTGTTGGTAAAAATGGCTGTTCCGTTGCCGTAAGGGTTGTCGTTGATAAGTGAAATTGCTTCATCAAGAGTATCAACAGACAGACACACAAGCACTGGTCCAAATATTTCCTCCTTGTAGCATTTCATAGAGGGCTATTGGGAATTAAATATACAAGGTCAGTACGTGTGAACTTATTAGGATTTTAACAAAATTGTAGTTTATCCTAGGAGAATCATATAAATGGTGTCAGTGGCAAGCTGTCGAGAATCCTGTAAATATTTCCTCCTTGTAGCATTTCATAGAGGGCTATTGGGAATTAAATATACAAGGTCAGTAAGTGTGAACTTATTAGGATTTTAACAAAATTGTAGTTTATCCTAGGAGAATCATATAAATGGTGTCAGTGGCAAGCTGTCGAGAATCCTGTAAATATTTCCTCCTTGTAGCATTTCATAGAGGGCTATTGGGAATTAAATATACAGGGTGATTCAAAAAGGACTTTACAACTTTGAAAATTCATATAAATCTTATTAAACAAGGTACAGAGCTGGTTTTGGTGTTGTTTTAAAGAAAAACACTTCAAGTTTTTTTACCTTAAAATATCAAATTTTTACCTTAAAAAGAATTTTAGGTACGAAAAAATTACGAAAACCGTTAAAATTTGGAAAGAAATTTAACAAATTTTGAAAATGTGGCATTTTTTGAAGCTGAAGGAGTGCGATTTTCGATAAACGCCAAAGAGTGTCTTGTAGAAAATTTAATTCCGAACCTACGATTTTTCCTCAAATTGTTTCTAGCTCTTACCGTTTTCGAGCTATAGCCGTTTAAAAAAAACGTGATTTGTCGTTTTCAGAGGTCCGCCATTTAAAAATGGGACTTTTTGCAAATTCTACCGTTAATTTAAGATCCCATACTGCAATACTACAAAATTCCAAGTCCCTAGCACGTTTCTAAATGGTTCAGATGAGCGTATGAAAGTATTTTTCAATGTTATTTCCCATAAGAATAATATGGGGGGGAAATTCGTGATTTCGGGGGGGAAATTTTAACCTCTCCAAAATTCCAAAATGGCGGACCTCTGAAAACGACAAATCAGGTTTTTTTTAAACGGCTATAGCTCGAAAACGGTAAGAGTTAGAAACAATTTGAGGAAAAATCGTAGGTTCGGAATTAAATTTTCTACAAGACACTCTTAGGTGTTTATCGAAAATTGCACTCCTTCAGCTTCAAAAAATGCCACATTTTCAAAATTTGTTAAATTTCTTTTAAAAATTTAACGGTTTTCAATATTTTTTCGTACCTAAAATTCCTTTTAAGGTAAAAATTTGATATTTTAAGGTAAAAAAACTCAAAGTGTTTTTCTTTAAAACAACACCAAAACCAGCTCTGTACCTTGTTTAATAAGATTTATATGAATTTTCAAAGTTGTAAAGTCCTTTTTGAATCACCCTGTACAAGGTCAGTAAGTGTGAACTTATTAGGATTTTAACAAAATTGTAGTTTATCCTAGGAGAATCATATAAATGGTGTCAGTGGCAAGCTGTCGAGAATCCTGTAAATATTTCCTACTTGTAGCATTTCATAGAGGGCTATTGGGAATTAAATATACAAGGTCAGTAAGTGTGAACTTATTAGGATTTTAACAAAATTGTAGTTTATCCTAGGAGAATCATATAAATGGTGTCAGTGGCAAGCTGTCGAGAATCCTGTAAATATTTCCTCCTTGTAGCATTTCATAGAGGGCTATTGGGAATTAAATATACAAGGTCAGTACGTGTGAACTTATTAGGATTTTAACAAAATTGTAGTTTATCCTAGGAGAATCATATAAATGGTGTCAGTCGCAAGCTGTCAAGAATCCCGTTTCTTATCAAGGGAGGCTAAGAGACTTTGTCCCACCACAGTATTTGTGCCTATTATGCATTTTTTCAAAGCCAGATGCAGTATGACCAATTATTACAAGGAAATTTCACTCACATTAACTGTATATTTAAGGTTCAGAAGAAGTACTTAGACATACCAAAAAACCATTCTGTAAAAACCCTTAAATTTTTATTTATAAACATATTTCTCATTTAAGAAATAAAGAAATCTTTCATATTTTCTGACTTGGCCTCTATAGTCTGTTTAACAGCTAAAAAAATTATTTGATTTATGTGGGATGGGTATGAGTAATTTACCTTTACATTGGTGAGTATTGTAGGTCCAATGAAGTTTCCCTTCTCGTAGCCTGGGACGGCCAGTCCGCGGCCGTCCAGCAACAGAGTAGCCCCTTCATCTACCCCACTTTGTATTAGGCCCAACACTCTCTGCTTAGCCTGTGGGGAGATCACTGGACCTAGGTCTGTCCCAGGGACATGACCTACACAATAAGGTGGACAGTTATACAGAGTCAATCTCAAAGGATGTCCAGTATCGATTTCAGACAAACCGTTGCTCTTCAAATTGAATTAATTTGCTCCCCATTAATGCAGCCCAAAAGAGTAACAAAAAAAGTTTTAAATTGTTGAAAAAGGAGGATAGTAGCTAGCTTACCTTGAAAGTGTAGGTAGGCCATAGAACATACAGAACACTATGCACACAACAATTCGTTCTGAGGAACGACCTCAGGTGACGAAATATTGTGTACACAGTGTATCTTGTACATGTGTAACGGTAGTAAAATTTAGGTGTGTGTTTTTTTTAAATCAACATAATGTGAAGGGGATTTGAATTATAAACTGAGCATATATTTTTTTCAACGAAGTAATAGTAGCCAGATTGCCAATTCTTAACAATCAGTAAGATAATCAGTCCTCAAGTCGGAGGTCGAGGGCCATAGTCAATATCAGTCAGGACGGCTGCATGAGCTCCGTGATGTCTCACTGAGTACTGGTCTGTCCCCTCCACCAAGGAGTGGGCACGGCGCGCATGCGCACCAAGGTACGCATGGCCAACAAAACCACGGGGACCTGGCCTCTCGATCAGTTCCTGGCCACGCATCACGCATTGGAAAGTCACTCTCACTCTGGGTAATTACTTAATAGTCTAGGACTTGTAAAAATTAATCAGTTGAAAGTCATAGTTGAAATCAAATTTAATAGTAATATTTCGATCATTTAACTTTTGAATTAATTTCAGTATTCAAATCTTATTTAAAATATTTAAATAAATATTAACAGTAAATTAAAGTTTCTTTTACTTTAAACAATCTTATTCAGGTCCGTGCGAACACGGTACCCTCGGGATTTGTTAAACAGTAACATATAACTCAGTTAACGTCAAAAATAAACCAACTAAACCATAATCATTCAGGTCCGTGCAAGCACGGTTGATTAAATCAGTATTTTAATAAAAGCTAAAATAGTGAATTAAACTTAAATCATACAGGTCCGTGAGAACACGGTGCCGTAGGGAATTGCTAAACAGTAACAGTCAATTTATTTAACGTTTAAAGAAACAACTAAACTAATCTCTATAGGTTCGTGCAAGCACGGATGATTAATTAAGTGTTTTGCTCAAAGTTAGGAACAAACCTTAAATCATACAGGTCCGTGAGAACACGGTACCATAGGGATTACGTAATAAATCAATCCAGTTAGGCCTATAGAATATTAATTATCAGAGGAATAATAACCTATTAAACGTTTGTAAAATAGAGGTTCCTAGCAGACACGGACTAATTTTAGATAGTTGAAATAGCCTAAAATCAGAGTAGGCCCGTGCTGACTAAATAATACCTTGAGTATTGATTTGTGGGTTAAATAATATTTACTAAATGATTCTGGAAAGGTTAGTGTAGTGGCGGATGATTAATTAAGTATTGTACTCGCAGAATAGAGGCAAACTTAGATCATACAGGTCCGTGCAAACACGGTAACCTTTAATCAGCAGATAATCATTGTAAATCGTCGGGAAAATAATTATTAAACCATCCAATACAGGTTCGTGAGATCACGGAAGGTTAATTAAGTCTATTTTAATCACATAATTGTTGATAATTGTCCGTGGCACACGGACGCTAACCCTCTAATCAGTTAACCAAAAGTTGCACTCTTATCTTTTGCTTATCCTCAACACGGATAATTTCTGTCAAACAATAACACTGGAATACAACGTCAACTGGGTCTAAGACTGTGATGATACAATTGATCCTTGAATTGATCATGATTGATAGCGAATGATCACTGATCATTCGGATTGTGAATTCCAACTTTGTCTGAGTTTATAGACCCAAACAAAATTTATTGGAAAAATAGCAGTAGTGGCAAAACTAGAGTTTGGTCCAAAATACTTTTTATTTTTTTAAACTTTGATTTTGAGCCCTGGAACTAAACCCAGCTCGAGTTTTCATCCAGGCAACCCCTTTAAGACGTTACCCTTTGCTTAAAGATCTCACTTGAGCAAAAATACGTCACACATGTTCTATGGCCTACCTACACTTTCAAGGTAAACTAGCTCTTATCCTCCTTTTTCAACAATTCAAAATCATGGCCTAGAGCATTTCCTTTAACAAAACTATTTGTAAAATGTTTTAGATTTTTATTTTATACAGATCAGAATCCTCAAAAAGGTTTGTTGTTGTGTACATTACAGTTCCTATCTCATTTGTCCTTCTGACACATAACGTTTAACAATTAACTCAAGTTACAAAAACTTACTTACTTATTAGCTACTTGATAGCCCAAAAACTAAAATATTTGGATAAAATGTAACGATGAAATTTGCATGGAATTGCAATACCATAGAAATCAGATGCTATAATATGACATACGATATCTGTTATTTCACATTTTTGAGTTTTGACTATGATGTAAAAGACAGGGTATTGGAAAAAACTGGATTATTTTTTCAAAAGTAGTTGCCATTTTGGAACAAAGGAAAAATAAAATAACAAAATTCTGACTACACTAAAATATTTCTATTTGAGAGCTTTAAATGGTAACATGATGTATGTTTGCATTTGATAATTCTGAGATTCAAGATGTTATTGCTTAGTGGGATGGGAATAGATTAATTTCATTATTGTAGGACCAAAGGCTTGTCTGGAATCAATACTGGACAACTTATCAGTATCAGGAGCGTACCTGATCCTGTAGTTTTCATATACAGGACTGTATTCCTACCAGTCACCACGGAATGTCAAGAAGTGTCAATGTTGCGAGCCAGTTGTTTGTGGCTCTTCCCACTGCCGAGCGTTCCAGCGAGCTGAGGATGGTTACTTTTAATGCCAAGAAACTGATCAAAATCATTTAATTTTACTGCACCCTACTTAACAGAAGAAATATGCAAGAGGTTCCCCACCATTCTACTAAAATACAGAGGGAAAAACTCCAGAGAAGCGTTTGAACATTGAAAGTTTGAACAGACGGCGGCCGATTAGAAAAAAAAAACAAAACGGCTTACTGCCAATTAGAATACATACCAAACTAAACATCCTACACTTTAACAAACTAAACTACTAGGCCTACAATACATTTACCTTTTTCCCTTCAAATAATATCTCTGGAAAAATCGTCTGATTGAGAAATATCAGTAAAACAATTTGAATTATCCAACAATTTTTAATTGGATAAGTTTGTTACTTGTTATTAAAAGCTTATACTGTAGCAACACACTAACCAGCATTAACCTTGAGTTTCCCTGCCCGTTCCTTTAACTCTGGAAGCCACTCCTTAGCCTCCCCCACAAACACAGCCGTGCTGAGAGCCATACATCTTTGTCCTGCAGCACCAAACGCAGCTCCAACCAGCTGATTCAGCGTGTGAGCCTTGTTAGCATCAGACATCACCACACCGTGGTTCTTGGCTCCCATGTTGCACTGGACTCGCTTGCCAGCTGCACAACCTCGCTTGTATATATGCTCTCCCTACAACACAAACACAGCCGTGCTGAGAGCCATACATCTTTGTCCTGCAGCACCAAACGCAGCTCCAACCAGCTGATTCAGCGTGTGAGCCTTGTTAGCAGCAGACATCACCACGCCGTGGTTCTTGGCTCCCATGTTGCACTGGACTCGCTTGCCAGCTGCACAACCTCGCTTGTATATATGCTCTCCCTACAACACAAACACAGCCGTGCTGAGAGCCATACATCTTTGTCCTGCAGCACCAAACGCAGCTCCAACCAGCTGATTCAGCGTGTGAGCCTTGTTAGCATCAGACATCACCACGCCGTGGTTCTTGGCTCCCATGTTGCACTGGACTCGCTTGCCAGCTGCACAACCTCGCTTGTATATATGCTCTCCCTACAACACAAACACAGCCTGAGAGCCATGCAAGGATAGATTGTGCTCATATTAATTACCGATTTCTGTCAAATATTCTGGCAATATTTTTAACCAAGTCACACTGACTGGATGACTTGTTGCAAGCTAATTTTTTGATGTCACATCAACTATCTCAGTAACAAAAGATAAGGTAGAAAATAGAGTTTTTGACACTAGCACACCCTGTGACAGGCTCATTCACGACAACTGGTCCATAGATAATTAAATATGGGATGTCATCTATGATATCCAAAAGTCAATGATACTACTTAGTCAACTTCTCACATTTATCTACACAGTGTCTTACAGTGCAGCAGGAACAAAGTGCAGCTGAGTAGACGAAAATTGATTTTCTCATATTTTTCAGTTAAAGTAATGGTGTTTTTACATTGTTTATTTTTTTATCATAGTTTAAAAACAGAAAAAGTTATTGGTTTCATAAAAGAAACCTTAAAGTCTTGAATAGTTGTAATTTGATACAATTTTTTTTTTACTGTCTTGATTACGATATTTGTGAGGATAGCAGGCTTATTAGAATGTGAAAAAGTCAAATCTGACTAAAAAAAACACAACACTTTACACTATACACAAAACACTTGAATATTTGAATATTTCACTGTTACTGACAGCATTTTAAACTCATTCCTTCTATAGTTAAACAGTGAAAGATTTAATGTTTTCGTGTTTAGTGTAAAGGTTTGTGATTCTTGTGCCAGTTTGCACTCTTTTCCAAGTCATGTAAGTTGACTTTCCTCACAAAAACCCTAAAAACCCTTAAGCTCTGTGTCCATGTTAAAATCCCTCAGATCCCATGTGTTAAGATTGTTATTAAAGCCTTTAATAAGTTTGACAGTAGTAAAAACATAATTAAATCAATGACTTTTCAAATGTTTACAACGGTTTTTTATGATTTTCTTTGTTCATCGACCTTTCTGCATATCAAATCCTGCCTCTTCTAGTTTGGTTTTGATAATCGAAACTCGACTACAGATATTGAACTTGAACATAGATTGAATTTTTCATCAAATTGGACTCACAGCAATGTCAGATCCCACAAAGGATATCGCTCGGATATCTGGGTGATCACAGATGAAGTTAACAGCGTCGTAAGATCCGTGGATAACGTTGACTACTCCAGGCGGACAACCTGCTTCTGTCAACATCTCAACTAGCATCATACAGGCTCCAGGGTCACGCTCTGACGGCTACACAGCAATAACAAATATTGACTTTTAAATTAAATTCATATCTTATTAATATACAGGGTTAGAAAATAGTATGGATACCCCTTTGAACGTGTCAATGGGTTACACCAGGCTACATAAACTCTACACTCTTATATTGGGTAGGCCTTCTTGTTTATGAGGATGTAAACAAATACAATTACAACATGATTAATCAGTGTGGCAGATTGCGTGTAATAAGTAAGTAACCTTTATATTAATTACAACATGTTTGACAGATAGAGTGGCAGCTGTGGGCATAACGAGTAGCACTGTTTTGTTTTAAGCAACCTTCTGTATTGTAGCCAAAGGCAACGACCTTGACGAGCAGGGGTGAAAGATGGAGTAAAGGGGAGAGTGAAGGAGTCCAAACCTTGCCACAACTGCTTACTTTGTGCAAGTCGTTATGTGGTTAGCAGATGTTACTTTTTACTCACTCTGTGCAGTATACTTCTTTGCACTTTTTTCTTGATAACTAATTGGCCATATATTTGTGATGACATCTCTTTAACCGGACAATTTTTATCAGCACATTGGTTTAACCGGACTAGATCGGCAGGAAGTGGGCAGTACTGAAACGACTGTTCTCGTGGGAAAAATTTGAGACCAGTGATCTAAATACAATGCTCTCCTAAATTTAAGTCGAATATCACAGTAAACAGTCCGTTTTAACGAGTTTTTGGGGACGTCGGTTTAACCGGAAAACCCGTTAACCGGACTGGCCTCGGTCCCGAGAAGAGGGAGTCTTCGGTAACGTTTAAACCTATGTTTATTCGAATGAGTTCGCGAACCAGCATAATCGGACCATGGGAACAGGGGTTTATGGGGTATTCTCATTTTTTATCCTAAAAACAAAAAAATTTTCAATTTCTTTCTAAACCATTTTGTAGAGCTTAAAAAAAGAAATAATTTAGTATATTGAAGTGCTGTTGTATGCCTAACGGTCACAGAGTAAATTCAAAAAATGTGTAATATAAAATTCCCATGTTATTCTTATGGAGAAAATGAAAACTGTTGTAGTTTACTTGTTTTTGGATATATGTTGATAAAATTTGTCAAATTTATTTATTTCATCCTATACTATTGACGTATCGTCAAAAAACACTTTTTACCTTCCCCGTAGCAGCAAACCTAAGCACTCATTAAACCTAATGTTATTTAAATTGGGAATAAATATGTCTTATTTATGTTAATATTTTAGTAAAAATGTAATCAGACAAGTTTAAATTCGCTTAGTCTGCAGGTTTGCTGTGGCGGGGGTATTTACGTGTTACTAGCCGCCATACATGGGCTTCGCAACGGAAAGAGAACAATAAAGATAAAATATTATGTTCTATAGATCTGTTGTATGAAAAGTTATTAACTCATAAATTAATGTCCATAATTTTGATAAAGAATATAATCATTTTGAAACACAATGTTTATATTGATTTGGCCATTGTAATATTTAAAGTAACTATAAAAATATCATAGAAACTTTGCAAGCCTTCAGGGAAGGGTATTAAAATAAAAAAAAAGACTATGTCATTAAGCCTGGGGTATATTGGCTCTATTCATGGAAAAATCTGCTCAATTGGTCAATTATGAGTTCCTTCCAACCAAGTCATTGAATTGATCAGTAATATACTATACTATAAGTATTAATCGACGATTTTAGCGAATTTCCCTATAGGGAAGTAGCTATTACCGTAGGTGGCATGGTAAGACCTAAGCCCGGGACCGATTTACTTTTTCATTTTGATGTCCCCAGAGGCCAAAAACACCATTCGTTCAAATTTGTATATAAGTATATATATATATGTCCGTGTACACGATAACTTGAGTAATTTTTGTCAGATTTGGATGAAATTTGGTTTGAAGGTGTAAGGCGGGATAAGCTTGAATGAGTTCGCGAACCAGCATGATCGGACCATGGAAACGGGGTTTTTTTGGGATAAAAATTGGTTTTTCTAATTATTGACCCTCTAAACACAAAATTTCCCAATTTCTCTCCAGACCTTTTTAAAGAGCTTAAAAAACAAATAATTTAGTATATCAAAGTGTTTTTGTACAATTCATTATTTTATCACTAACACTATTTATATATTAAAAAAAATAAAACTGTTTACACATACACGGTCACTAGTAGGCCTACCATTTATCGCAGTCCTGATGGAAATGTTGAAATTTTTTTTAACGTCATAGAAAAATTGTTAAGTCACATTAGTCGGTTAAATAAGCAGTCAGTTATATGTGGTGACTTCAACATGGATTTTCTTAGTATTGAAAAAGTTCCTGTGAACCTTGTAAATCTCTTTAATATGTATGGTTTACAGATGAAAGTTACTGAGCCTACTAGAGGGAAAAGATGCTTAGATAATGTATTTACATCTTTAAATGACAACTTTACAATAAATGTAGTAAACAGACTCGTTAGTGATCACCTTGGACAGGTTTTAGCGAATTTCCCTATAGGGAAGTAGCTATTACCGTAGGTGGCATGGTAAGACCTAGGCCCGGGACCGATTTACTTTTTCATTTTGATGTCCCCAGAGGCCAGAAACACCATTCGTTCAAATTTTTCTATATGTATATATATATATAGATATATATATATATATGTATCTGTGAACACGATAACTTGAGTAATTTTTATCCGATTTTGATGAAATTTGGTTTGAAGGTGTAAGGCGAGATAAACTTGAATGAGTTCGCAAACCAGCATGATCGGACCATGGGAACAGGTTTTTACGGGGGGTTTTATGGGGTAAAAATTGGTTTTTCGACCCTCCGAACGCAAAATTTCTCAATTTCTCTTCAGACCTTCTTAAAGAGCTTAAAAAAACAAATAATTTAGTATATCAGTGTTTTTGTGCTATTATTAGTTACGGAGAAAATTCAAATAATTGTTATTTTAAAAATCCCATGTTATTCTTATGGGGAATATTGTAAAATGTTGTAGTCTGCTTGTTAATGGATATATTTTGATCAAACTTGGTAAATTTATTTATTTTATACTAAGTTATTAATATTTCTCTAAAAAAACACACTTTTTACCCTCGCTGTAGCAGCAGGAGAGATCAAGATGGCACCGCCAGGAAACAAGTCACTAAAATGTGGCTCATGTAACAAAATCATTAATTTAAAATCTGACAAAATCCAATGTAGTGGTGAATGTAAATATATGTTTCATTTAAATTATTGTACCAGTTTATCAGAATCAAACTTTGTGGAAAATTGTTCTCAAATTAATTGGAAGTGTGATATATGCTCCGTCGCTGAAAGTAACGTAACAACACAGACAATTCGGTAGCTTACGACACAAACTCAATTGTCAACCATATCTGCCCTTGTTCAGAGAAAATTGAATATTTGATATAAAAAATCAATGAACTATCTCAAAACAACTCAGAAATTAAAGCAGAAATTTCCAAAATTAAAATAGAAAATGTAAGGTTAAAAACTGCTTTGTCTAATCAGGCAGAGACTGTCAGTGATCTTATGTTAAGAGATAGTAACACTTTTGCAAGTGTTTTGAGAAATAAATCTAAAATGATTGCTAATAATGACAAATTTATAGACTCATCTAAATCTTCAAATGACAACTCAAAGAATATTATTCACAATCTTAAAGACAATTCTAATTCTAATCTTAGCAGTTGTCATCAGTCTGTCAACAATTCGACTACTTTGCCCGTGTCGTCTGCCGCCAAAAGTTCTGCTAGTTTTCCTGCGACTGCTCCTGTAGTAGACAAGCGAAACAGTGAAACTGTTACGCCTGCCAAACAAAAAACATCAGTGAAGAGGAATGGTGGAAAACGTCAAACTGAACTGTCAAAACAGCATAGACATAACCCTAACCTACCAACTACAACAAGTACAAGTGCAGTTAACACTAATGGTCTTAAGGTGTACAAACAAATACAAAGTTCTGTAAAACAACATTTTAATAACGACAATTCTATCACAGGTTCTGCCAACACTAGCAATAAACTACAAACTGTCAACAAATACAGGTATTTATTTATCTCAAGGCTGGCTACTGATGTTGACTGTGACACAGTTAATAAATAGGCTATATAAGTGATGAAATTAGTGGTGATTACAAAGTCACACAAATGAGGAACAGATTCCCAGGCTATCGAACATTTAAGGTAGGGGTTCCTGCTCACTTGTGGGACAAAATATATTTGCCTGAGTTCTGGCCTACTGGGGCATATATATATGCCTTCAGGTTTGATAAAAAAGAAACTAGCACTGTTAAGCGCCAGGAAAATTTTTTTAGAAACTCCGCCCAACTCTGTAAATTTAACGTAGAGTCTGAAGTGTCAAATAACTCTGACACGCAACTCTCTTCGCATAACAAAGCGATTGGGAACTCCTCTAACATTTGCTTGCCCCAGTCATCTAATAAAACACTATCTAGGTCAGCTAAAAAATTAAACATCCTCCTGTGGAATATTCAATCCATTACCAACAAACTAGATTATCTACGATTGCTTGGGTATGACAGTAGTGTGGATGTGATTTGTTTGACTGAACACTGGGTCTCGCAAAATGATATTAATAGCTTAAGCCTAAGAGGCTACTTAGTTGCAACCTCTTTTGCTAGGTCAATGTCTAAACATGGTGGATCTGCTATACTTGTAAAAGAGAACCTAGACTTTATAATTTACGATAAGTTAAATTTGAGTATATTAGTGGAAGAACTCACATTTGAAGCCTCAGCGGTGTACATCGTTAAGTACAAAACAGTGATTGTAAACTTCTACAGACCACCCTCAGGTAATGTCTCTTTATTTCTGGATAAACTGCATGATGTATTCTCAACTATGCATGGTGTGAAACTTTTTTTTATTCTATAGAAGAGTATATGTCAAGACAATGGACTGTTAAGGACTTCTATTGAATATTATTTATTTATAAAATTGACGTGCCAATGTATTTGCATGAAATATTTTCTGGCTGAATAAAGTTCTTATTCTTATTATTATTCTTATCAC